TTTCAAAAAAATAGAGAAAAAAAAAGCTCTTTTTGTTGTTGGGAAATTAGCTGAGAAAGGAAGACACGGCGGGTATCTTTTTTTTTGTTGATTTAGTAGTTATAAGGCTCATGTATTGTGCAGAAACAGAGAAAAAGGAAACATCCTAGTAGTCCACGCACTGAAAGTTAACAGTAGCAGGTTCTACGAAGATTAATTGACACGCTCTATTGCGAGCCAACTTGGGTTGAATGATTAGCAGAACTGTGGTATCCCAACTCACTGGAGTTAAAGTTCTAGATTTGACATCGGTAATCGTCTTTTCCTGAATTTATTTAGTCCTTTCGGCGATGTGCGTCAGTGGGATGAGACGTTCCCGGCGACTACGAATACGTCCGTGACAACTTCGTCAACCTCAAGATTATGTGTCGGCTCAGTCTCTCGAGGACGTCTGTGTGCGTGTATACATTTATAGAGACGAGTGTATATACGTATGTATAAGCGTATATGTCTATGATGTGTTAAAAAATAAACACGCTCGCACAAGTCGGGGTAACTTGATCCCGCACAAATTCGTACCAGAGAGGACTTCTTTTTTTTTTAGAGGACTTCTTAGCCATAGGCAACGCCAACACTTTCGGCCGTACACGAGCAGCCCAGATTATTCGGCACCGTCTGTCTTCATCGAAGGATCCGGCCAATGGGGATACCAACCGCCAGCCGCAAGAAGTACAGCAAGCCTTCATCTTTTGGGTCTTGTCGTGAGTCGTCGCCTAGATGTACGTTCAACCGGGCTTGAACGATCCACAAAAGAACAAAGGCACAAGGACGAATACGTCTTATGGAAATGGAAGTATTCAACCTTTCAAGAGAAGCGCGATGTCATTACTGAACCAGCGACTAACGTTTGAAGAATACACCAACTACGCACCACCACTTGGTCACTCTGGTAATATAAACCAGCAGGACGGCAAAGGCATCAGTGTCGGACGTCGTCACGGTTCAGTGCAGAACCAACATGTAACCTGCGAGTTGATTAGCAGAATGTTTCGTCTAATTATTATCTAAGTAGGTCAGAGGGAGTTGGTGCAGTAGAACGCAGACGGCCACGCCATCATGCATATCTGCAGGTACATATCCTACATCGTCCAGCAAACAGCACATGAATTGGTCATGTCTTTTGAGTTGAGTTTCAAGTTGGTGCAATTTCTTATCGTAATCATGCGGAAAACCAGACAGAATAACCAGTTATCATCCAGTTTGTGGATCCACACCAGCTGCAGGAACAGGACCACATATGCAAGAATACTCTCAGCAGCAGCAGGGCAGGGCAGGTCATGGTCTTGGATCCAGCAGGCATGGGCTAATGATATCGTCAAGTGGAGGATGGCACGGCACCCATATTTCATCAATTAATCAACCGAGCAAAGCTTGATGAGGCATCTCCTGATTGGGGAGGCTGAACCAAGATTGATAAACTAAACCAAGATAGGCTACAAAATCGGCCACTGTGCTTGTGATAATAATGGCAGCCGGGCTTCGTCCTCAATAATCGATCATGATGCTGACCATTCGTGAATAAAGAAGAAAAGGTCATTTTCATGCGAAAAGGTCCGAATATTTTCTCTCTCATTAATTTGGATAACAATCGTAAAGACGAGAGGCCGAACTATATCCTTGATAGATTATGCTGTCCGACATCACGCGTCACCGGGCACCCGCGGGCCACATGCTTTTTTTTTTGTCATATAATTAATTAGTAACTACTAGCTCTGTTAACAACTCAAAAAAAATCTAGCTTTATTAAAAGAAGAATTACTAGCTAGACAGTAGGGCTTGATCACCTCGCGTATTGTACTACCTCCGTTTCTAGATATAAGTCTCTTTTAGATATTTTAATTGACGAATGTATATAAACATATTTTAAAATGTAGATTTCTTCATTTTGCTCCGTATGAAGTCGAGGATTGTAATTTCTGAAGGTTTTGCCACATTTCAGTGGAAATTCAGGCTCTGAGATCTCCTCACTCGAGTGATCTTTCGAAAAGGAACATCGCCGGATCGCTCGCTACGGTCAGCAAAGGTTGGACGCGAAATGAATAGAGCTGGCTTCAGGCACACGGCGTTTCTGCATGCATGCATGTTCCCCATGCCGGGCCGCCTCCTCACCATGCAGGCATGGGCTGGTGCGAGTCTGATACGTGCCCAGGCAGTCTGCGAGCGCGTGTGAGTGTGACCATCCTCACTCATCGAATCATTTATTTATTTTTTAGCATAATAAAACGAAGTAGTAGGAGTAGTTACATTATTTTTTTATCTTCAATAATCTTTTCCGGGTGAGGGGACACTGACTACGACTATAGCGTGGTACCATGACGGCGATAAAGCTGACAAAGCGAAGAGTGGCGCCGTGCGTGCGGACCGGGCGGTTTTCTCGCCACGCCGGGGATGGCCCAAATAAAAGAAAGGACATCCCACTCGGCAGTCGGCACTCGCCGTCGCCGTCGTCCACGTCCCTCGATGATCCGGTGCGGCCGCCGCGCGCATGGTTGCACCGTTCAGCGTTTATGGAAGGGTGCAACCTGTACTGGCGTACCTGTACCAGCAGTGCGGTCTTCCTTGGCCTCCGTGCAAAGAGCCGAGCCGGCAGGCGTAAGCTTCACGCCCGGATCAAATTTAAGGCGCGCGCGGCAACCACGGCGCGGCGCGGATCGATCGATCTAGCCACCGGAGGAGGATCCACGCCGCCGACGGCGACGCCACAGGGACGTAGTAGTCAATCAACCGAAGTGGGAGTGGTTAGCGCGTGGTGGTTTTGTGTTCCCATCGGCCTGAATTCACCAGAACCGGTCAAAAAAAGGGACCGTGTCTCCCCACCCAGTCTTGACGGACCGGAATCAAGTCCAAGCGCACGCACGCACACCACACCTCGTGAACCTTGCCACCCCCCAAAACTCGTAAAAACAATTTGCACTACAAAATAAAACAGAGTCATCATCATCATCAGTATGGAAAGAGAAGAAAGAAAAGGAGAAAGGAAGTTTGGGGACACGAATTGTCGAGGATAGCGAGAAATTTCTCCGATCAGTACCATCCTCAAGCGTCCCTTGCGTGCGTGCTTATCCACAACGTAGCCATCCACAGTCCAAAACACACACAGGGTGTGATCGATGCTTTGTAGGAATGGGACAGATAACGACTCGCATCGCATCATACAGCATTATCGCCGTAGAAAATCTCGGCTGACAGGAAAGCTGGTCGCGAACGCCAAGCTTTGCTGGACGCCTCCTAACCAGCAGCAGTATTATTTGCATACAGAAAAAGTATACTACTACTAGAAATAATCACACTATTATTTTTACAATATGATGATGGTGCTCCATCAAAGCAGGGAAATCTCCCGCGTTCCCGCCGGCCTGCTGCCGACTACACACAACTATCAGACGTTGGCAAATGATGTCAAAAAAAAAAAAGAAAACTTGACCAAAAAAAACAGAAAAAGAAAGAGCCGTGTGCAGCGCTGGCTCCGCCCAGAGCTGCCCACGCGCCAGCCGTGCGCGGGACGTGGCCGCGAGCGGCGCACGGCACACCCGAGGCCAGCCAGAGCGCCAGACCGGCCCGGGGTCAACCCGCCGCTGCCCGGGCCCACGCGCAGCGAGAGGTGGTGGCGCCCCAGGCAGCAGTCCTGAGCCGAGCAGCGAGAGGAGAGGAGAAGAGAAGAGTCGGAGCCGCCCACGACAAACCCGCCCGCTTTCCAAATCCCCTGCCCAAACCCCACACCAAAAACCAAATCACGCCACTTAAAACTGCTTCCCTGGCTCGTAACGAGTCGCCTACCGTGCGTTAATCCGGCGGATCCAAGCCCCGCGTGCGTGCGTGCGTGCGTTCATTCATTAGCCCGCACAAACACGGAAAAGGAAGGCAGGCGAGAGGGGGAGGGAGAAGACCATCGGACCGTCCACCCATTCGTCCGGCGGCGGCGGCGGCGTACGGAGCAGCAGCGGAGGAGGGGGATCAGCGAGCCGGAAAAGCATCCCCGCCCAGGTGAGCCCGCTCGACGGGTTTCTCGCCCCCTAACAGTTCTCTCTGCTTTTTTTTCCCGCGGATCTTCCCGGGCGTTTCTTCGACGGGCGGCGCCCCCGCCGTCGATTTCTAGGGGCGGTCTGAACTCCGGGGCGCGCGGTTTCCGCGCCGCGATTGCTTCCCCCTGCCTGCGCGGCGGGCGGGGGGTTCGGGGCAGCAGTCAAACGGCGATTCTGGTGGGCGACCCCCGGGTCAAACTCCGAGATCGAGTGGTTGGTCTCTGCAATTCCGGTCCAGGCCAAACGATTGCACACTCGATTTAGTTTTTTACTCTTTACTTCGTAGGTAGAGAAATCGATAGCAGAGTCCAAGGAATCAATAATAGCAGCGTCGGATTATGTATGTGGGTTTGTTTTGATCCGGTGTTGCTTTTCTTAGATTCCGCCACATGCTCTTCTTACTGATGGATACTAGCGGAAAAGGTGCGTGGCCAACTCGGTGGGGCGCTTTTGGCTACGGCTTTGATACTACCGGAGAAAGTACGCACAGTTAGTTATTAGGTGGCTTTCTGGCTGGATATTGGAGTGAGATGCAAGCTGAATTTGTTGTCCCGTACCAGGGAGCTGTCACCAATTTAGCTGCTTTCTGTGGGTGATGGCTGATAAGGTCCAGTCCAGTTGAATCTAGGTGATTCAAAGCTGATTGACGACATGGTTTACTTGTTGGGTACATGCTACAACTGGGTAAATTGGAATTAAATGTGGGCAAGTTTTATGTTATTCAGCTCCTATTTGAGCGTGAAAGATGTACAGAATAAATATACATAGCCAAATACTCAGTTATAAAAAAACAGCTTAATCAGATGGGATTTTAATTTGTAAGTGCTCCTGTGATGTACTAATTCTTACTTCCTGATGCTTATATGGCTTGTCTTCGTGTTCTCGATCACAGTGCTGAAATGAATATGTCCTTGCTTGCACAAGTAACAGGCATTTAGGATGGTGGATAACAAGAATGATGGGTCTGAAGGGGTCAAGTTCAACACGTCGCACCTGATGCAAACAACCGAAGAGGTTGCGAGAGCATTTATTGCCGCTGCTTCAGCTGCCACCGTGCAACCAACACGGCCGTCTGTCGTCTATTCGTCTGGGGAAGAGAGTGGCAGCCCAATGCAGAAGCTGCAGCAGCAATTCTCGAAGATAATGAAAGGGTTTTCAAATTCACCCGAAGTGTCTGGACCATACAACCCGGAAGTTCTCACGACACACAAGCGGCAGTGGTCGAGGTTCCAGCAGAAGTCATTGGTATGTACTCCTATGTCACTACCTATGTTCAATTCATGTCTATCTATTGTGCTCTACGTGGTGTGGGAATGTGGGATATACTACGCTGATTAATTAAGGTGCTTAGTCAGAGCTGTAATGTTAATGATTGCTGTGATACTTGCCTTTTCAAACTACTCGGTATAAGTTCAACAAAACCATGCCAATTTCTGTAGTTGCAGTGACTCAAAGTGTCTTTGTTTGCAGCTATTGTTCAAGCATAAAACTCGTGTTGCAGTTCATGCTACAAATTATATCTACTTGATTTTCTTCCACTACTATTCTATGTAGGACATAGTCTATGTGTGGTCACATGACACAATGCCATTTGTTTTATTATCTGTATTGCTCTAATGTCTACATTCATGCAATGTTGCTTTGAAGGGTCATTGTCAGAGAAAATTATACTCCATGTTTGATACAAGTGGAGTCCTGTCACTGATAGCTCTTAATTGGAATCTTTTGGTTAGGAGCCTATCAAGTAGTGATTGATCAATTATTGCTAAATTACTCAGAACTCATGAAAAACTTTGTTATGCTTGGGTTATAGGTTTGGGTATTTGACTTCTGAGCTGCAAGGGCTATTCTGCTGTTCGGATATTCATGTTAGTCATAGTGTGAAGCAGTCTCATATTTTTGATATCAAGGAGAAATAACCTTTGTTCATTTGGAAACCTTGAATTTGGGCTGCATACCCCCAAGTACCTTCTACAGAAGTGTATAAGTATTTATTACGCCTGCATACACAATTTTTTTTGCCTTTGGGGTTCTACTGAAATCTGATTTAAGTGCAATAGATAGGTATGTAATGTAGGCTGTTGCTTCTATTTGACCGACTGCTTCTTGCTGAAATGGCCTATCATTTTGGAACTAGTAGGACTGGTAATTTTGGCAAATGTCGAAGAGCATAGTGCCTCAAGTTCCTTTTTTTTTTTGGTTGGAACAGGGTAATAGGTGCATCAAAGAACCATCACATCTTTTTGAGAGCATAGTGATTGTTGGGCTTCCTCCTCAGGCAGATATCCATGAGCTAGAAAACATTGCTCTAGGGAGAAATGATGATGATGCAAAGAAATCAAGACATATATTTGGCAACAACCACCACCAAGTTCATGCTGTATCAAATTTGGAACCTCAGGTTATCACTCACATCATCTATTGTTGTTGCATGTTCTTATAAAATGGAGGTCCTATTTCTGCCTTTCTTCATGTGTCTGAACCTCAGGATATTTTGTCTTGTCCTTAAGGTCCTTTTTGCGTACCCCCCTGAGAGGTCTCTTCCGCTTAAGTACAAGGATATCGTCTCGTTCTGCCTTCCTGGAGGTGCACAGGTCTGCCATTCGAACTACATAACCCTGATACTTTGCATTTCTGTATAATAAACGTTTGCAACGATTATACATTAAACTTCAATTTTACCAAGTTTTATGGTGCTTCCTGTATAGGTTATATCTTGTTTACTGGGTTGACATATTGTTATGTCTGGTTCAGTTCATAATACTGTAACTTGCCACCTGGGTTACATTTCCAATTATAATACAATAAAAAAATTTGGCAATGCCCATGTGTAGGAAACAGAGTGAGGAGACGTCGAGAGAGAAGAAGACAAAGTAAAAAATATATTAGTTGGCACTAGCATGTCCTGCCCCTGCTGAGTCACCAGCCTAGTTGTCTACATCCACCACGTATGAAATAGTGCAATAGCATGATAAAAATCTCCTCAGGGGGTCCATTAGAGAAAAGCCTGGGGTGTCAGTTAGACAGGTCTGAAATATAGGGCTGGAGTAGACACACTCCTATGGGCTATGGACTAGGTGGTCATTTTGACTGTTTTCGACATACAGTGACATGCCAAGTAAATATTCAATCAGAACAAGCAGTACCAGGAAATTTAGTCGATAAAAACAGTGAAACTAGAAATAGTCATCTGGCGGCTATCAAGTTTCAGTATGTCCATTGCCCTCGCCATACACACTGATACCCACCCCTTCTTTTTCTGTATGCTCCAATCGACTAATATAGTGTTGTCCCTCGTACGAAAGATCTTGGAAATCTCAGATAGAATTTACTTTCTGTCTGGCAAATCTGTAACTGCTAAATTTTGTGGCTGAGTATGGTCCATAATCCTAATTTCATGCCCGAATTAGCTTCATGTTGTTGGTGTTTCCTCAATACTTGTGCAGAGCTTATAAGAAGAGCATAGAAACACTTCTTACCAAATAATTTACCTATATTTACATTTGTAATAGGTTAATGCTGTTGAACGGACTCCATCATTCAGCGAGCTGAATGAAATTCTCCTAGGGCAGGTGACTTTCTCAGCTCAGTTCGTGTTTTATTCTTATAATATCTCTGTAGTCGTGAAGTTTCTCCTCCAACCACATTGCAGACTATGCCGCAAGATTTGCAGTTGTAACATCTTACATGTTTTCTTTTTAATCTAGTCTATTTGAGGTTTTGATGTGAATCTTACTTTTTATATTGTCTTTTTCAGGAACATCTAAAAGAAAGCAATCAATCTTTCGTCTTCCGTTTACAGGTATATTTACATCTTTCTCTCTTACACCGTTTCACTGTACTGGGGCTCTGACATTGAGAGTTTGCAGGTTGCTGATGATCCTACATTATATGGATGCTGTGTATTGGTGGAAGAGATTGTACAAAGACCCTCAAAGCTAGTTTCGATGCTCACGAATGAGAAACCTGTATTTCCACGCCGGAGTCGTTATGTAGTAACCACGCCACGGTGTTATTGCATCCTGTCTAGGCTGCCATTCTTTGAACTGCATTTTGGGGTGCTGCAGAGGTAGCGTACAGTGCTCTCCATTATCTCCGGTTATCTTACTGTATTTGTAATATCTGAATTTCTCTTCAGTTTGAGTCTTTTGGTTTGTCAATCTTTTTGAGGTGGTAGAAATGGAAACCTACTCAATCTGTAATGAATTTACAAAATTCTTCTATTTTTTCTACTTAATCTGTAATGAATTTGCAAAATTCTTCTATTTTTTCTTCTAGAAATTATGTTTGCAAGTTATTCATTCATATAATTTTCCAATATCCTTATGTCTGAGCTTTATGTTGCATTGATGACCTTACAGATTCATTTTCTATTTTTGGATCTATCAGTATAGTTTCAACCCTGCAACTAGTATATCTGCTCCATATTTTGCACAGCACTTTGCTGTCCTCTAGTTACAGTACATAAATTTTGCATTGTACGAATAAGGTATTAATGTTACATTCTGGAAGCTTTTGGTTTGATTTGTCTTTAGTCTTTGTCAAACATTCTTGCACGGGTGTCTTTGATGCTATCACACATTGAGCATTGATGGTCTACCCTTTGCATTTGCCTCTCCATAAGTGTCTGCCGTGTTTCTTATGCAGTATTCTTATGGAAGAACGACTTGAATGGCTCACGGATGGTGTTAGCATGCTAACCTCATTATCGCCTGAAGAGGAATGTGAGGATGGTGATATCTGTGAAGGCTCCGAAAGCGTAGGACAAGAACTGTATTTTGGTTGTACAACAGTAGAAAAATCCTTTGAACCAAGCGTGGAAGTTTCTCCAAAGCAGCTCTCTGACATGGACAGCAATTCTGAGTGTAGGGAGAACCAACTGGACTTCATCTCCCTAGAAGTCCAACAGGAAAGTGGTTCTCCTGTCAAAGAAGAACAAAATGTTCTTGTAACAGGAACAGCTACTCAGTGTTATACCGCAGAAGAGTCTGACAATTCTGTTTCAGAAGATACAGCGACTGGTGTATCTGGAGTTAAGCTTGATGAACCGGATTCCTTACCCATCATTCCGAATGAATCTGATACCAAGGAAAATTCTCATGTTCTTTCACATGAAGATGTGATTGATGGAGAACTTGATATCTTTGTCAATGATACTATCTTGCCGCTTATACGGTCTCGCCTTAGTGAAGGATCTGAATCATCACCAAGGTATGGTTATGGTATCCTCCAAATCAATTAGCTTCTAGCACAGCCTGCTATTTTCCTCAACACACAATCGGCCTAGTCTTGACCCCTAATGTTGCTGTGAACACTTTTAACATTATAGCTAGATAACCAATACAGGTTGGTGGGAACTGTTGTGCTGCTCTCAGTTATTATTTTCTTACCTCAGATTCTCTTGTCATGTCTGTTATTAACTGTTGACACGTTATGAATGCGAAGCACGCTTGTTTGCAAACTATATTTTACGTGTGCATCAGTCCCTGATTAAAATAGTAAAACAGTCATCACCATTTTCTGCAGTTCCCAAGACTCTCCTTCTGAAAGCATAAATTTGAGAAATGATACCCCCGACTTGGACTTGGAGGAGCCATCTTCCATTGGTCATGGAGACGTAGTCGGGTACAACAGTATATTGCGATGGGCTAAGGTTCTGTATGCATGAAATTATGCAATATTTTGCTCAGCTCCTCTCTGTGAATTTGTTGAGTAACTTGATGTTTTCTCCAGGCCAAAAAGTATGGATCTCTACAAGTTGTCTGTCAGTACTACCAGTTGCAGTGTCCTGTCAGGGGTTCATCACTTAATTTTCATCCATTGGAGCACCTGCACTCATTGAAGTTTCATCGGCCAGGTGAAACTGCTCTTCATCTTGCCGGGTCGACTATTGATCTTCGGTCACGTGATACAAGCTTAGAGGTGGCTGAGGTAATTTACGGGATGCAGTGCCACATTATGCATTTAGCGCTGACCTACTTTGGTGTAACGTTCACGTCTGTTATATTTAATATCATAAATATAAGAACAATAATATGCACGTGACATATCTATTCCTATTTCAGATGCGTAATGCACTCTTCGCTGAAGAGGAATCGACTGCTTTATCCACATGGGCTGTTGCAACAATATGTGGATGCCTCAGGTTGGAACATGTAAGTATCCCTTATTTATTCCCGAGATGAAATGTTTCCTTTGCGGAACCTAGTTATTTCTTCTATCATGCTATTTGCTTGAGACTGTCGTTGGAAAACCCACATCCAAACATACAAAATGTGAGAGCCCCCTGCCAAGAGTTTAATTGTTTCTTATTATAATTTTGAACCTGTAGTCACAAATATTTGCAAGTGTCTGGTTTGCATGTTCGATGTGCACATCTTTCAATGGATTTATAAACAGTTCACAACCAAATTGTCAGTTTTTTTTTAAACTGCATCATCTGTTAGTTTTACTCTTTAAGTATATGATGTAACCTTGTTAGTGAAGAATCCCTTTTGTTCTTGAAAGAGGGCAACATGGAATTTTAATTGGTTGCTTTAGTGCATGTAGTGTGTTATCCACTTTAATGCATTCCTTTCTTGATCCTTGGCATCACTTTTGTTACACTGTACTGCTACACTTCCATTGGAGTAAATGTTTTATGCCTTTTTTTACTGTAATGATTGATTGATGTGTCATTCTACATTCTTGGGCTCTAGTTTGATTTGTCTGAGCACCAAACTGATTGTCTATAAATTGCTTGTGAGCACTTAATTTTACCTGTAGTTACCAACTTGGAATTAATTTTATTGACAGGTAATTACGCTGTTTGCCGCCGCGCTCCTGGAGAAACAGATTGTTATTGTCTGTTCTAATTTGGTATTGTTCCAACCTTCACACATGTTTTGACATTCTTATTCACACCTTTTGTGTTGATATTGCACACCAGTTAATCTGATCATTTTCTTGATCTGTGTGTTAGCTAACAATTTTCTGTTATGGCAAATAGAACAATCATACATGAGTTGTTATTTAATAAAGAATATTGTTTTGATGACCAGGGAATGCTTTCAGCTTCAGTTTTATCCATAATACCTCTAATACGGCCATATCAGTGGCAGAGTCTACTCATACCGGTACTTACATTTGTTCCTCTGAGTGCTCAGATCTGAACTTGATGGCTAGGCAATGTATTCATGCTTACCTCTTGTGATGTCTGCATCATTTAATACAGGTTTTGCCAAATGACATGCTGGATTTTCTGGACGCGCCTGTTCCATACATTGTGAGTTCCCAAGCTTATTGGCATATTTTGGTTTGATTAAAGTAGAGAAAATTGTGGAGAAACGGTAGAGATATGTTTTTAGTCTTCACACTAAGGCTGATGGAAGGCAGTTAGGCCCAGTCCCTACAGAAAGGCAAGAAAATTGGGCTAAATTTACCGCCTGTCTGAAGTGATGGGATCTGTTCTGCCTATCCAGCAAGCCTGTAGCCAGGGAGGGATGAGAAGGGGATACTTTTGGGGGATGGGATTGAAGGAGAGATACATATCTCACATTGGGTGAACACCAAATATGTACATATTGGTCCATTTGGTTGCAATTTGGCACATCGATCACCATCTATTTGAAATAAATTTTTGTTGAGTTAATTTGAGCTTTCTGGTCCACGAGCTTTCTGGTCCACGACTAACAATTATTGTCATTTTAGGTTGGTGTGCAGAACAAAACACCTGATCTGCAATCCAGGCTAGCAAATGCTGTGATAATTGATGCCAACAAGAATCAGGTGCCTGCAAAGTGTCTTACCTTCTATTTACCTGTGATATTTTGTTACTTTCTGGAGACAAATTCTGTCCTACTGTGTATTGCCTGCGTAGTGCTTTCCTATTTCCTTTTTACAAATTTGCTGATTGGAGACTTGTACATCATCAGTTTAGCTTGTAGTATAATTTTTTAAAGCATCTAATGCTGTAGTATCATGGTTGATGATGTAAATAATGCGACAAGCTATTACTGATGGACGAAATCATGCTGAATGTAGATTAAGTCTGCTTCAGTACCGCAACTTCCACAACAGAAAGAATTGCTTTCTGCGTTGCGGCCGTATCATTCAAGACTTGTGGGTGAAAGTTATCTCGCTAGGAAGCGCCCTGTCTATGAATGCACAGATGCCCAGGTTTGTTATAGTTTTTCTGTGCTGAAGTATAAGCATTTTCTGTATCCTGTGGATTTTCACTTCTGACATCATTCTAAATTTCTGAGCATACAGGTGGAAGCAGCCAAAGGTTTCTTGGCAGTTCTTAGATCCCACCTTGATTCTCTGTGCTCCAACTTAAGATCTCACACTATTACCAATGTGCAATCCAACAATGACAAGGTATGTTGTCAAAATGCATGGTCTGTGTATTCTTGTGTGCCTTTTTTTGTTGAACAAATTGTCTTGTGTCCTCAGTGTGTTACTAAACAGGATTTTACCAGCAAAGATATATACAAGTGCAGGATACCTGTTGCTAATTCTGAGTCTGTTTTTTTAATCATAAAAAGAACTACCAGTTGCCAACTGTAAACATTTGTAAAATATTTGTTGTTGACTTGAGTCTATTTTTTAACATAAAAAACACCCCTAATTACTGACTGTCTTTACACAGGTTTCCTTAATTTTAAGAGAGAGCTTCATTGGTTCTTTTCCAGCCCGTGATAGGCCTTTTATGAAGGTATTAATTTGCTACCTTCTCATTTTCATTGCCTTCAATATAGTTTGAGTACCATATTTGGACAATGCTTCAAGGTCTTGATTCTCAGGTTGAGCAATACTTAGAGGTCTTCTCTTTTTGGTTGAGTTTTTATATCTTTTGCAAGAATCGTTTTTGCCACTTTACATGTGATAGGCATATGCGTGTTTAGTGAGACATATACTGCGGCACAGACTAATATATGCAATTTATTCGATTTTGTTGACAGCTGTTTCTGGACACACAATTGTTCTCGGTACATACAGACCTAGTTCTCTCCTTTTATCAGAAGGACTGAGTCTCTCTCCTGACGTTTTGACTGTCATCAGGGACATGATTTTTTCAAGGTAAAAAACTAAAGTTGGCTCTTTTTATATTGTATAAACGTTGTGCATCACTTCTTCGCCCTCTTGCAAAACAACAGTTACAAGCATTTATAGCTTTAAACTTGTTAGCTTGCCTCAGCCCTTAGGTACAGGAGCATAGCTTTATTAGGTCTGTAGCTTTGGTTGTAGACCTTCGTTGTAACGCAAAAACACAAATCCTATGTTATGCTGTCAATCAGGTGACAGAAAGTTCCCTGTGCTAGCATTGCCCATTATCCTTATTGCTTTTCTAGCTAACCGTCTTTTACCAGCTTTATCAATTATGTCGTATGTCTGGTTTTAAAAACAGTACCTTCAAATAACATCTGATGGATTGGTTCGCATCGCAGCCTTTCAATGTTGAGCTCAACTGTACATATCGTCGTAGAAGCTGCCTTTGATCACATTGGCAGCTCATAGTGGACTAGAAGCTGCAAGGGACGACCCATATACTGTTGGCGAAGCTGTAGAGTATTGAGGAGATCCAGGTAATGTTATACCAGAAAATGCCCGTCGGGCTGTTGTAAATTAGCTCTGCTTTCATGCAGAAGACTTTGTAGGCAGTAGTCATTCCCATGAGGAACCTTCTGGCTTGCTCTTCCTACAATGCAGAATCCCCGGGCGTGGGATCCTAATGTTACTTCTGCAGCTAGTTGGTATACGGGGAGAGAGAACCAGAAACATATACTGCAGTAATTTAAGCACAAACTAGAGTTAAAACTGATGCAATGTCGAAGGACTATCTGTATCTCAATTTTGCCGTGTGACGTTCTGTGTTGTACAGAAACAGTTTGGAGTGTGATATACATAGTATTTTCATCATCAAATCATGACTGCTGTCTGGAGTTTGATGTATCGGTTTTGTTCAGATCCATGTACGCTGTAGCCGTCTCAACTGTTGTAAGATGCCGTCCTTGTCCGAATCCGCCGTTTTATGTGAACGCCGATAGTCTGCCCAAACTGCTTTGAAGGCAGAAGACGGCGAGACGCTGCAGGTCTGCCATGATGAAACTCCAACGCATCTCTTGTAGGCGAAGTTAATTTACTGGCGCGTCAGGCCTCAGTTAGTATCGGTTCTGCACGTTGGACTATTGCTGCGACCATTACTACTGACTCGAGTTTATTGCTGTAGGCCAGATTCTTACCGTCTGTCTCTTGTCGCTGGCACAGCACCATTGACTCCGTTCGGAGAGGGCCATTTTACGACGTCCCAGTCAAAGCGAAAAGGCCTAGAAAGAAGTGTCTCGAGTCAGGTAGCCCTGCAGCCTAAACGTACCACTGCTCCCGCCTTTGGTTCACATCGAAGCAGAGAGAGACCGATTTGAACCCGTCCCATGTTGGCCTCCTTTCGATGCAAAGCCGATAGATAGATACGGAGCACTCTAGACTGTTAGACACTAACAATGTGCCTATGATGGCAGGTATACGGAGGTGTGATCTTGTGGCTGTAGCCTCCTGGTACACATGGTGGGAACGGAGGAAGTTCACAAGAGGTGAGGCGCTGCAAGCACCGGTCAGATCAGCTCAAGCCATCTCGGTGCTGGCTTTAAACTTTGCTCGAGTGAAGAAACTCAGAACTGCCAAAGTGATCAGACATGGCTGGACTAAACCATTAGAGGGATTTGTGGAATTAAATGTTGATGCTGCTTTTAATGAGGAAACAGGTACATGGCGAACAGGGGCAATTATTCGTGATTATACAGGAGCTCCAATTGCCGGGGGTAGCTCATGTATGTCATTCATTGATACACCGGCGACCGCTTAAGCGTGTGCACTTTGTGATGGTTTGATCATTGCAGGTAATGTAGGATGCAACATACTCCTAGTCGAAAGTGATTGTATGGAAGTAGTGGAAGTCATGCAAAATGGCGGCAATTCTCTAGGTGTGGCGGCAGCCATTTATGAAGAATGTACTTTACTATGCCGATATTTTACACGTGTAATTTTCTCACACTGCCCTAAGGAAGCTAATAGAGCAGCCCATAATCTGGCTAGATTTAGTGAGGGGAACCATTCTTGGCAGGAACCTTCAGGTTTTATTTGTGCTGTGCTAGTTGATGATGTAACTGTGATTCCAGATCAATAAAAATCGCCATGATGGCTTTCCTCAAAAAAAAAAATTGGTTCCCGGTTCCCTAGCCAAGCCAGGTCGGCCTCCTCGCGTCGTCTCTCTTGTTCCATCAGCGAGGAACCACCGGGCAGTGGCGATGGAATCGAATCGAACAGATCTGCCAAGTTGGGGGCGTCGGACGCTACAGGAGGCGCGCGTGTGTGTGCAGGGAAAGGAAGGAAAGGCATTGCTTTGCTTTGCCCGTGGGGCGGTAGCAGTGAATGTGCCTGCCAGCCAGAGGGAGTACCGCTCGGCAGTCGCCACCCACCGCTTTCAAACCCGGCGGTCGTCTCGTCGTACTGTCACGCCGCCTGGACGCGCCCCTGCTTTGCCTGCGTGCAGCCTTTCCGACCGCCCCACTGCCGCTGGCTGCTGCATCTGCATGTGCCGCTGCCCGGCCAGTGGCGCCATGCCGCGCCGCAGCGGTACACGCGCACGTACTGACCAGGCAGGCTGGAAAGACGCTGCCGCGCTGCCCGACTGCCTCCTGATGCTACTACCGCTGCCGCCTCGCTTCCCTCGCAGCGGCCGGCCGGTGCTGCGCATGCATGTGTCCCGTGTTACGCGTTGCGTTGCGTTGCCTGTTTCACGTGTGCGTAGCAGGCGAGGTGAGGCTGGCAGGCATGATCCCTCCCCATGGGCCGGTTCGGTCGATGAAAGCAACGCGGAGGAGGCCTTCTTGAGCCTTGACCGCCGGCCTCCCCGCTCTCCGGCCGGCCAGCATGCCGACCTGAGCAGGGCGAGGCAATTATTATTGCGTGGGAACGGTTCCGCTGTGCACGAGCACTGTTCACCCCTGCTGCGGTCTGCTGCACGCTGGTCCGCCCCCTCGTGCTGCCTCTCAGCCTGAGTGCACCTACCGTCTACGTGATGCGTCCTGCACTAGCCCCACCGTCCCACTCGCGCTCCACTCGATCGAGCTCCCTCGTCCTATCGCACGGACTCGCCGGGGCGCAGTGTCCCCTGCTCGTGCGCACCGGCTACGGCGGAGCACGTTGTAAGACAATAGGCTTTGGGGGGAACCGGCACAACCCTCTAGGGGTGGCCTATCACATATATATATATAATGAGGTGGTATACAACGTTACAATATACACATGTAAATACAGTCTAACACCCTCCCTCAATCTTAGCCACTTTCTAATGAATCTAGAAGGTAAGATTGCGCCTGCAAGTCTCAAACTGTGGCAAAGGCAATGGCTTGGTGAAGATGTCAGCAAGTTGATCCTTGGAAGAAATAAACTTGATCTGTAGTTGCTTCTGAGAGACACGTTCACGCACAAAGTGATAGTCAACTTCAATGTGTTTCGTTCGGGCATGGAATACCGGATTTGCAGAAAGGTATGTAGCACCGATGTTATCACACCAAAGAACAGGAGGCTGTGATTGGGGTATACTTAACTCCTGAAGCAAGGACTGTACCCAGATAATCTCTGATGTGGCATTGGCCACAGCCTTATACTCAGCCTCAGTACTGCTACGCGAGACAGTAGCCTGTTTCCGAGCACTCCAGGCAATCAGGTTAGAGCCAAAGAAGACAGCATAACCCACCGTGGATCGCCTGTCATCCGGATTGCCAGCCCAGTCTGCATCAGAATATGCTGAAAGACAACCAGAGTCAGACGGCCGAATATGCAAACCATGAGCCACCGTGAAACGAATATAGCGCAAAATCCGCTTAACAGCAGACCAATGAGTGTCACGGGGTGACTGCAGATACTGGCAGACTCGGTTAACAGCATAGGAAATGTCTGGTCGCGTGATCGTCAGGTACTGGAGCCCACCAACAATACTCCGGTACTCGGTCGCATCAGAAGAAGAAAGAAGCACACCATCAACAGCATTGAGCTTATCAGTGGTAGACATGGGTGTAGTCGTCGGTTTGCACTTAAGCATCCCAGCTCGCTGCAACAAATCCAGAGAGTACTTCTTCTGCGTCATAACAAGGCCAGCAGCACGAGAAGTAACCTCCACACCAAGAAAGTAATGAAGCTTCCCAAGGTCCTTGACCGCAAAATCAGCACCAAGTGAGCGAACAAGCGCAGTAGCAGCCGACTGAGAGGAGCTGACCAAAATGATATCATCTACATAGACCAACAAGTACATAGTAACCTCAGGCCTTTGAAGAAGAAACAATGAGGAGTCAGCAGTTGATGATGCAAAACCATGAGCACGAAGAGCCATTGCAAGACGAGCATGCCAAGCACGAGGAGCCTGCTTCAGACCATAAATTGCCTTGGACAGACGACAGAGATGATCAGGGCAATCCGGATCAGAGAAACCCGGAGGCTGGCGCATGTAAACCTCCTCCGCCAAGACACCATGAAGAAAAGCATTTTGAACATCAAGCTGACGAAGA